CCCACCCACAGGTGAGAGTTGTACAGATTTTTTAGGCTCTTTATACAGATAAACATCTGAAGAGGTTGACGTATGTAAACTGCAACGATGGTGGTATTTGATCAGATGCAAACAGTTTTCAGTTTCTATAAGAAAAGAATGTAGATCGTTCCACTAAAATCATAATTCACTAGATCTGTACTATTTATATGAAGTTTAAACAATGAACTTAATTTGAGTTTAGTGTGCTATTAAACATTTTTATAACTTAAAGCAGTTTTTTTTTTGTTTTGCTTTTTACCAAAAGTAATTTAAACTACTTTTTTAGCTTTAAATGTAGACATWATTAAATATTGAAGTGTTGTATTCTACAATGTAATAAATCAAAAATGAGAAATTTTGAGTCAAATGTTTTCAAACTCTTAAAATACACCTACGTTTGTCATTTTTAGCATTTCTTGTTTAGAAGGAATCTCCTTTTCATTTTAAATTGAAAAGTGCAAAAAGCCTATGATGTTAGGTTTTATTGAAACTTTACAAAATCCATTTTTAGCTTTAATAATCCCTCCCACCTTGTWTTGTTAATTCCCTGGTTCTGCTTGGACGTGGTCTCAGACATTCATGTAAACCAAATGAAAGGAATTCTTAAAGTTGGATCAAAAATAAATAAATCCCAAGCAGATACAGATGTTTTAGGTTCAATAGCATTTCAGTCTCTGACTGCTCTTTAAGTAAGATTCCAAGAATTCCAATTAGACGACAGCATTGTATCCAAAGGGTGGGGAAACGTTTCATATGTGTGTGGGCGAGCTGGTGGGTCATGTCAAAAACTGTCAAATAGGTCATGGAATGAAAGTGAGAAACAGTTTAAATAGCATATCACATGAAGGTGATGAACTTTAAATAATCTTTAGAATCTGTGGCTCGAACTAACAAACCTTGACAGACGTAAACATCTCTGGTTGGAGATAACAAAGGCATCTAACATATGTTATCATAGTAGTTTCTAATGCACGCCATGTTCTTTAGCAAGCAGACAGAACAAACTCAAATCCTCAGATAGATGTTAACATCGAACTCCAAGTGAAACATGCAGACTGTCTTATTCAAACAAACGCACACTTAAGAGCTTTAAATACGGGAAAACACTAGAACACAAAATCCTGATCATGTCTAGACCACAATTTTTTTTAAAAAAAGCTCTCTAACTRTAAAACCACCAAAGAAATAAAAAACAATAAATAAAATCTTGGTTAGATTYAAGACCCTGATACAGGAAAAGGAGAAAGTAAGGAAGAGAAAGCGGCCAGCTGGTGAGTTATGTAAGTGTTCCTGTGAGGCCGAGTGCAGCAGAGCAACACTTTCCTGGTGTGTGACAACAAGCCTGTTTGACACAAACTGGGTTTCCAACCATTAACYCCCATTTTAGACCAAGTCTAAGGTCATTACAGGAATTAGATGAGCTAAAGAAATATTTTCACTCTCTTATCACACAAAAATGCAATAAATGAATTTTAAATACAGATGTGTATATTAACCAAGTACATTTGCTTCATTATGGTACTTAAGTAATTTTTGAGGATTTGAAATATGTATTTTTTTTAAATTGTACTGTTATCATAAAAAGGATTATTTTACTTATTTACTGTACAATTTAATATCTAGTTATACATTACAAATTCTGAATAGGATTAAACTCATCACAAAAGGAACTGTTTATGCACTCTAAAAATGAAATACTGAATTTACTTAAGTTATGGGACAACTAGTTTCACCAAACAGGGTTGAGYAAATATAAAGTAATTTATTCAACTAGGTTTAGTGGAACCAYTTTGGTTCAGTAAATTCAAATTATAATTTCTTATAGTGTGTGTAAAAGTACTTTTACTTTTCTAATTACTGTGAGCAGATTTATGGCTTTGTACTTTTCTTATCAGTGAATTAATTTGTTTTACCAAAGTCATTTTCTGTTAAAGTATTTTTACTTTTACTTAGTTATTTGTTTTAAATACCTTTTAGACCTGATTATATGACTTATAGCTCTCATAATGTAAAAGGATACTACAATGATTTTGCAGTTAGAATATATTTTCACTAAATAAACTGTTAACACTTATTCTTTTCTGTCTAAAGTTAAGCTTTTGTAAAGTTTTTTTCAATAAACAACCGCAAAAAATAATTCCTAAGAATGATAAGTAGATGCAACACTCACATTTTTTAAATGTACAGTTTGAATTATTTTCTACTCATTTCAAAGAAAACAAGGCTTTAATTTGAAAAGCATTCTAGAGTTTAAGATGTTGTTTTTTTTGTTGTTTTTTTGCTACTGTGTAAATGTGGTGTCATCGCGCTTGTAATTTCTGTCTTCTAACAGAATTTTTAGAAACACCAGCTTATACAAGCAAAACAAGACGAAAGATAAAAAGGATCGAACAAGTTGTAAGGAAAACAGCACTGATAAGCACCAGAGCTGTTATATGATTAGCACAGGAGCGTCTGTGACCTGCTGGTGTTTGGCTGGCCTTGTGAACTCCTGGTGTGTTTCAGTTTTCATTACTGCAGCAGGAGTGCAGTAAGAGTGGCGTGCTAAAGAACGGCTGCAGCACTCCCCACAGTACAAACCAATATTATAACAGCTTCTCCCATTCAAACTAAAACACAGTCTGATTCCAGAGCACTCCCCTTCCCAAATCCCTTCTTCAAACACAATCCTGATACCACACACTGCTGGAGCCGGCTGTTCCGGATCAGATTCCCAGAAAAACACTACACGGAATGTTATAGTTCCCTTTTTTTTTCCATGATTTTTGGGAACTGTCTGCGAGAGGCATGGCAATCAGATCCAGACATGAGTTTGGAGGAAAAAGAAAAAAATAAACAGCGGGTAAAATAAGTATTGAACACGTCACCATTTTTCTCAGTAAATATATTACTAGAGGCGCTAATGATGTGAAATTTTCACCAGATGTTGGTAACAACCCAAGTGATCCATACATACAAAGAAATCAAACCATAAATGTCCAGAAATGAAGTTATTTGTAATAATGTGGAATGGCACAGGGAAAAAGTATTGAACACACTTACTGAAATTTATCTAATACTTTGTACAAAAGCCTTTGTTGTCAATGACAGCTTCAAGACACCTCCTGTATGGAGAAACTAGTGGCATGCATTGCTCAGGTGTGATTTTGGCCCATTCTTCCACACAAACAGTCTTCAAATCTTGAAGGTTTCGTGGACCTCTTCTATGAACTCTGATCTTTAGTTCTTTCCATAGATTTTCTGTTGGATTCAGGTCAGGTGATTGGCTGGGCCATTCCAGCAGCTTTAGTTTCTTTCTCTGAAACCAACTGAGAGTTTCCTTGACTTTGTGTTTGGGCTCATCGTCTTGCTGAAATGTCCAGCCACGTTTCATCTTCATCATCCTGGTAGATGGAAGCAGATTTTTATCAAGAATGTCTCTGTACATTTTTCCACTCATCCTTCCTTCAATTATTTGAAGTTTGCCAGTACCATATGCTGAAAAACAGCCCCACACCATGATGTTCCCACCTCCAAACTTCACTGTTGGTATGGTGTTTTTGGGCTGATGTGCAGTGCCATTTGACCTCCAAACATGATGTGTATTCTGCATCCAAACAGTTCAATGTTGGTCTCATCTGACCAGACTATATTCTCCCAGTATTACACAGGCTTGTTTAAATGCTGTGCAGCAAACTTTAAAGGAGCTTCAACATGCTGTTTCTTCAGCAGTGGAGTCTTGCGTGGTGAGYGTGCATACAGGCCATGGTGGTTCAGTGCATTACTTATTGTTTTCTTTGAAACAAACGTACCTGCTAATTCCAGGTCTTTCTGAAGCTCTCCACAAGTGGTCCTTGGCTCTTAGACAACTCTTCTGATAATTGTTTTCACTCCTCTGTCAGAAATCTTGTGAGGAGCACCTGGTCGTGGTCGGTTTATGGTGAAATAATGTTCTTTCCACTTCTGAATTATGGCACCAGCAGTGCTCACTGGAACCTTCAGAAGTTTAGACATTCTTCTGTAACCGATGCCATCATTATGCTTTGCAACAATAAGGTTGTGAAGGTCTTGAGAGAGCTCTTTACTTTTACCCATCATCAGATGTTTTCTTGTGTGATACCTGGCCATCATTTGGGTCTGAACCAGCTGATATTAATTTGCACTGACAAGGGGCAGGCTTGCTTTCTAATTACTGAGAGTTCAGCTGGTGTCTTGGCTTTCCATGCCTTTTTACACCTCCCTTTCTTCGTGTGTTCAATAGTTTTTCCCTGTGCCATTCCACATTATTACAAATAACTTCATTTCTGGACATTTATGGTTTGATTTCTTTGTATGTATGGATCACTTGGGTTGTTACTAACATCTGGTAAAAATTTCATGTCATTAGCACCTCTAGTAATATATTTACTGAGAAAAATGGTGACGTGTTCAATACTTATTTTACCCGCTGTATATATACAAGCATGGACCATTGGAACAACTTTTTTTTCAAGAAGTCAAAACGCTTCTTTCTCATTTCCTACTCYTAAGAGTGGAGTGGTGACAATGAAAAAATCTCCAAACTAATAATAACAGCTTGAAAATCTTGACAAGGTGTGATTTAAAAACCCTAGATTCTACTTAAAGGGATAGTAGCTATCTACAACAAAAGATAAAAAAGAGCTATATTTGTACATTCAAAAGAGATGAAGTTTATAAAAAAATATAATAAAGAATAAAATTAAAATAAAGATTTGGATAATTTTATTATTTACTATATGAGAATGGAGGATGCGTTTATACTTGTGTGATCCTTTTATCTTGTTCACACAAGTATAAGCTAAGAAGTTTGCCACCACCATGATACAAAAAATCTGGAGTCACCTCCCTAAAACCATAATCCTGTTTTGTTGTACCTGGATTCTGCTAAGCTTCAAAACCTCATTCATGAAAAACTGGAACATCAGAAAGAAAAACRGTCTGTCTGTAAATTTTCACTTCTTTTTCTTCATTTGTGTGGCATAATATCTGAATAATAACAAATCATAAAGCCATCTAAATAACTGCTTTTTGCAAAAGGGATTTTCCTGAGCAAGTTCAAACATGACTTTGAAGATGACAAAAGAAAAACACCTTGCCTTCCAGGTCTGAGCTGGATAAATTGAAAGTCTATTGATTACACTTTCACCCTCAGTGTGCAAAAAGTCAAAGTTCCCTGGCTTGTCTGRCTCACCTCTTCTTTCTGGTGACGATGAGCACATCGTTGAAGAGGAGGAAATAGACCTGTTGTCGTGATGTTCGCTTCATGAAGATGCTGCTGTCCTCCACAAAAGTAGTCAACTCGCCTCTCTTTATCATCCACCTAGAGGAGGAGACCAGGGGGAAAGGCTGGAGGAAACACAAGACAGTGATCAAAACAAACCAAGAATGAATGAAAAACTCTCAAWAGGATCTATCAAGCAAATTACAGTTTGTGTTAGTGCATGTGTGTTAGTTCTGTGTATGGACAGAGAGAATACAGCCTCCAGAAATCTATGAATCACAAATGTCCCAGCAGCTATTTCCCACAGTAGTTAGACACACTTGTGCGTGCCAGGCCGTGTGTGTTCAGTGATTGACAAGATCTCTGCCAAATGTAAAACACATTGCATCACTATAACTGCATGTTTGCACATGCAAACKTCAATGCATGTACCATTCACTTATTTATACTTACATGTAATACATGTAAAACTTTTTTAAATGTGAGAAAGGGCTTCTTTATTGAACAAATCATCACTTGAAGCAGTTTATTTGTATATTTTAAAAAGGATTTTAACACCTTAATTTATAATATACTCGYAAATTCCAAACAGTGTGTTATCAATGATAGCGAGAAATCCTCCACAGGAAAAAACTTAAAACAGGTGTACCACAAGGCTCAGATCTTGGCCCAGTATTTTTTTCTTTGTTGTTATTACTTTTTAACCATTTTTTATGTTGATTAGTGTTATGTATATGTGTTTATTTTATTGCTACTTCCATACCTTTATCTTGAACTCAAGCTGAGAGTTGATGGTGTACATCATTTCTGTTCTCTCCATTGTGCGAGCTCCTTCATTGCACTTTCGTACCACCTGCACATATACCACACATACACATCATTTGTTACAATCATCAGTCTGACTTGCATACTTGTAGTATTAGTATAAGTATTAGTATTATTATTAAGAACTATAAATCTGTGGTAATATTTAGAGATGCATTGACAGTTATGTCTGTCAATCTAACACTATAAAAGGCCTAAAGTTAGTTAGTTAGTTAGTTAGTTAGTTAGTTAGTTAGTTAGTTAGTTAGTTAGTTAGTTAGTTAGTTAGTTAGTTAGTTAGTTAGTTAGTTAGTTAGGCTAGCCATATGCATAAAAATTTAAGCACATTCTTCTTTATTGTGATAAACAAAGTTAATTATTTCATTTCCCAATATGTGGTCAATAGTAGTTTAAGAAACATTATTATTAATACGTGTTAATAAAAAAGAAATAAACAAAGATGAAAATATTTATGGACCACTCAATAGACTAAATTCCATTCACTTTAATGTTTATAAATGTTTTCAGGTCAATAAACTAGATAAGCACTGACCTTGCTGACAGCCTGCAAGGCCTTCTTGCACTCTTCATACTGGGCTGAGCCTTTAGGCATCTTCTGACAGATTGTCTGTAGTGAAGAGATTCAGGTTATGTGTCACGTGCACAAGAAATACACTGCACATACAAAACACTTTTCATGGACAATAACTCATCCTACYAATGCCATTCCACCCGTGTTTACCACACTCCCACCAGCAGCCTAATAAAATATTGAAGMCTGGGAAGAAATGAACAAAAATAAAACTTTCTCAAGATTGAAAAATCTGTGAGAGTATGAGCATAAAACCCCAGAGTCCCTCGGGAGGAGATTGATAGAAGGCGGAGGGGAATAAAAGTCCAAGAGGAAAGAAGAAAGGGAGGCACAGTGAAGGATGAGATATTCTACGGCCAAAAGAAAAATGTGAGTGAAGAGAATAAACATAAAAAGAAGGAAAGAGGAAATAAATCATTTAGGATTATTAAATAATGATGTGGGGTCACAGAAACATCCTTGTGGTTAGAACACACCCAGTGGAGAAACAAATAAACAAAGTGTTGCGTAACGGTCAGAGTTTTGTAATTCCACAGTTYGTGCTACTGTGCAGCTTAATCTCACTCACATCCATGAGCAGAGGCAGACGAGTGATCCTCTGCATGGGCAGGATGAGGAATGAGATCATGGGGAGATTTCTGCAGTCTGGGTGGCCCTCGATCCTGGTTAGCACCTCCTTAAAAGCTGGATTCTTGGAGCTGCAGAGAGGAAGGAAGTAGAGAGTGGATCAGAAGCGATGGTACACAGAGATAAAAGAAAGGAAAAAAACATGCCCGGGGAAAAGCCCACTTGCATGTTGGATCACTTGTGGATCAAATAYATTATTGTTCATTTGCTCGGTCACTCACACCAACTTCTGCAGCGTTCTCTGCTGATAGACCTCATTCGAGCAGTAAGTGACATATGGATCAAAGTTGGACTCAGCATGCCGGCAAATGATGTCACTGATGTCATCGATGACTATGTTCTGTTGGTGTCTTTCCTCCAGTTCTGTAAAGAACCTAAACAGAGACGTGATGATAAAAGAACAAAGGTATGTCAGGGATTCATTCAATGCAAAGCACCAATAAGTAAAAACCATTAAATCATGACTCTTCCCCCAGGGAGGAAAAAAAAATACAAAGTCAGGAAGGTGGAAACACCATGGACACCTCGCAAAAGGAATTTTTGTTTAAATAGACACTAGCATGAACTATAACGTGGAGACTCTTCCTCTTCCTGAGCACCACCAGATGGTCGGCTGAACAGCACACCATTTGTTCATCTTCCAGAGAGCTGAAGTTGAACAAAGGAGATTTAGAGGAGGAGTGTTTTTACATGTGTGAACCCAGGTGATAAACAGGAAGCTGTTGCTCAGACAAGGGATTCTGCCTTTGACTAGCTGGAGCATGTCTGAACTCATCCACAAAAGCACAGGGATCATTCAGGTCATTTGAAAAAAAAGGCTTTGTGGAAAGCATGTGAACAATTAATGTGTTATTTGTTGTCGATAGCTCTTTGAACAAAATCAATTTGAAGATTCAGGGTTTAAATCTGTCTAGCTTTATTATTGGCTAATCTACTAGCCACATCAAAGCAGATTGCTGCTGTCCTAAATCAACTCTAATCTCAAAAATATTATAGTAGTTCATGCACTACTGTCTATTTTATTACCATGGTTATTCAAAAAGAAATATTATAATATTCATTCAAATTGTGCACAAGGTCACACCAGGATTGCTGTAGCTAGCTGTTGCTCACGCTATTGAAGCTGAAATGCTTTAAAACACTTCAATCAACTTTGGTCTTGGTCCTACTCAGACTAGATTTTAGCTAGTCAGTTTGATCAAAATTAATCTCAATTTCTCCAACCTTAGGTTGTTTGAAGAGATATCTACAACAGGTAAGATAGTAGGTGTTTACAACCTCTCCACAGAAATTCACTAACAAGTCCCCGACACAAACTGCACTTTAACTTTCTATAGGAAACATTGTATTTTGAGACCAAGTATACACATCAATAAATAAGCACACACATGTTGCCACAGATCCATATCCTAAAGGTTTATTTTAGATTTAAAAAAAATAAAGAACTCATGTCCCCCGCATCCCCTTTTTAACTCACACCAAAAGTGTTGCCAAGAGAAAATGAAAAACTTAAATCAGAGCGATAAGAAAGAAATGAGCAGAATGGCTGATGACAAAAGCAAAGCCCCACTACTTGAATTTTTAAAAGAACCTTMTCAATTTTAACAGATCTGTCACAGGTGGATGATTGGGTTTTATGGGGCGTGTTGAAGAAAAAGTAGGTCATTCCCAGAATACAGCAACACAAACAGTATCACACCTGCATAGAAAAACACCCACTCRCTATCAGACAGACTACACAAAAAAACAGCTGGCAGGGAAATATCTGGGTTTTGTTTTGAGAAGCTCAACTCAGAACTTGCCAGTAAAGCCTCTCAGTTAACCAGTGCTGTGAGGTACAGCCATACATGAGCATTTACATGAGTAGTTGGGTGTTTAAACACAGGACAGAACAAGTAAGGACTTTACAAATATCTCTATGCATTAATTAATAAAGGAGATATTCAAAAACGTAAAAATGATAATGCTCATAATCATTCACACACCTGTCAAGTTCTTTTATAGGTTTCCAATAATCAGACAAGATTCATAAAGTGACTTACAAACTTACTTGTAGACTAATAGAAACCACATTTGAAGTAACATTGCATGTAAAACTGACTCAAAGGACATATGCATCACAAACTTTGTAAATGATTTGTAGATTTATTAGGCTGTCCCTTTGCTCAAACAGCTGAGGTAGCACAGATTCCCTTAGCCTCAGCTTTTTAACGGATGAATGTTTTCTTACGTTCAAAAGGTTAATGTCCAGAAGAAGTCACTGACCAATCTACACACATGCAAAACTAGAGTCTGTTGGACAAGTCAACTTCAGAGGTTTTGTTGCAGAAGATTTTGGCAACTGCACTTCCAATTCTTGGCAGCCAGCTTGCTTGTGCTCTCTGTCTTCTGTCAATTAACATCTGACTTCGTACACGGACAGAAACACAAGCTCTGTTCACTCCAAACAGGATCCCTTTCATGGAGAAAACCGCTCAGAGTGAAARTCAGAAAGAACTGTACGAAAAAATGACACTCTCACTTATAGAAAAAGGACAATTTTAAGTGTTTTTGGTCTGTAGGAGGGAATAAAGAGCACCCAGAGGCAAACCTGTATGAAACCCCCGCAACGTAGACTTAAACTACCAACCAGATCTGAGAAATAAAAAAAAAAACAAAGAAAGAAACCCAGAAACCTACTTTTTGCTGGCCTCACAGACATCTGAGATGTTGGAAAACAGGTGGTGGCGCTCGGTCTTGGTCATGGTCTCGCTGAGCTCTGCAGAGTTTTTGAACATGCGGATGAGAATCTCCAAACTGTGGAGGTAGGAGTGCTCTGATGAGATGACCTCAAAGATGGCCTGAAAGGAGAAAAAAAAGCAGCAGTGGGATCAGATTCAGTCAGGTTATCTGTGGCRTGGGGAGCGCTCCATCATCAGCATGTTTCACATACCTGCAGGCTTCAGTCATGTCTGGAATATTAAAGAAAACAATTGAAACCTAGGAACTAGTTTTGTCCTTCCTAAAATAACCTGGGTAATCATTTGTAATGCATCWCTCTCCTCTACTTTAAAATTAGTTAACTTTGAGAAACTTAAAGCGTATGGTACATGTTGTCTCTTGTGCTTCTTTAACAGATTTCTTTTTTAATTGGAGAGAAAGAGTATACAATGCCAGAAATTGCATCTTCTGTGTGAGTGTAAAACACAATAAAATAGAAATCCTACCTCCTGTCTTTTGCGTTCCTCTTGACTCAGGTGATCAGAGAGCCCACTTTTCTTAACCTAAACAGAAAACATTTAGGAAATTAAAATAATCACTTTTTCCAAGTCATGAGTTGTTTGTATTTATCACATGTGTGTGATGTTTTTGATACTGTTTTGTATTGGCTCCTCTCAAACTAGCCATTAGCTCATCAATATATTCAGAATTGTTGCCAGGGAGCTACCTACAGCCAGAAAGATCTGAGCTCTTTTTAAAGTTTAGCAAAGAGTGTGGCTCTCATGTTTCCTCTCAGACAATACAAGCAACATAGACATGAGGATTGAACGAAACCAGTTAACCAGATGAGCTTATTTTCCCTGCTTCCATTAAGTTTCCCATCCTGCTTTGGGATGAAGAGACAAAGAAGTGATACTGCCCTCTCCAGAAACCACTCCAGCTGGAGTTTCTGCCCCTGGGTCTTTGGCAAACAATGAGAACAAACAAACCTGAAGCAGCTCAAACGTCTCTTGAGGTTTATTTTTTATTTGATCTCTTCCACATGTGAAGATAACATGTTTAATGATTTACAGTTTCTGATTTTTTTATACGTTTCTATTCCCTTATTTGTAGACCACAGCTGCTGCTATACAGCCGATTTATTTTTCAGAAACAGCAACATTCCTCCAGTTGATGCAAACTGAAAAAGAAATGAAAATTTACCCTATGTTGTGCTGCACTGCAGTTAGGTGTGGGTGCATCAATCTAATTTGATACCAAGATGAGTATGAAATCGGATCGATACAAGAGTGATAAGATTGATTATTTTGAATTTGTTTGCACTACTGACTTTATTTTTCACAAATGAAGTCTTCAGAATCTTCAAATTGTTTTGAAATAGACATTAGTCCTCTTTATCGTGACTGCATGCAATTTAAGTTGTTTTTTTCTTGTGTTATTGACATTATTATATTTMGATTTTGTTACATTGTTGTTTCTTTTTTGTCATTTGGCACATTGTTTTGTTTTGTTGTTGTTAGTTAAAACAAAACATTTTTATTTGCCTAAAATCTTGGTTCTTTTGTATCATAATTGACTGACTAAAAGCAAAATCCCAAAATCATTCAAAGTTTTGGTATCAGCATCGGGACTGGCAATACTAGCTTTGTATTAACCGGTATCGGACCAAACTCCTAGTATTGCCAACCACTAACTGCAGGTATGCCTCACCTTCTAAAATTTACAAGCGAGAYGAAATGTACAGCTAAGGTATGACTCACTCGAGGACAACCTGAATATCCAGTTTGTGTCTTACAGGAATAAAATAATAATAATAATAATAGCAATTGCTGTCACACCTTGACAGTAATATCAAGGGTGCCATCATTTCCCCAAAAATCGGAAAGATGAGTAAGTCACATTGGTGTGAGATTCCTAGGAAAACGAAACTTATCAATCCACAGCTGTACGGCAGCTGGGATGGAAAACAAACACATGCTTTGGATCAGGCTGCRATCAGTTCTCTGTGTCTTGTTGAAGTAAGCAGGAGCAAGGAGGTGCTAAAGGATGTTCTCTTGTTTCCATTTAATTTCCAAACCATTAGAGGCTTTGTACAACAATTTCAAAACCAMTCCTAATTGTCTTCATTATCCATCATTGCTTCCACAGTTGCACAACTATAAATATAAAAAAGATGATGAGATRGAACAAGAATGCTTAATTGGGAAACTAAACAAGCCCATCCATGTTTTCTATGTTCATGTGTCCCTTAGCTCAAAYATTACGCAATGAGGAGCCACTGCATGTTTCCCTACGGGCAACATTTTAAGCATATTTGCAATCTGACGAGTACAAAGAGTTTGCCAACACAACTGGCATTAAGCCGAGCGATGCTCCCAGGACTTCCTGTGACTCTGCCTGCCTGTCTGTCTGTCTGTTTGTCTGTCTGACTGCCAGTCTGCCAGAGTCCTGGAAGGAGTTTGCTCCCTGATAAACAGACTGAGGTGCAGAGGAAAGCAGAAGCAGCAGGAGGGTGGGTATGGGAGGGTTGTCAAACTGGTTATGGCAGCATTCTTCAGAGCGCTAGAATTTCAAAACTCCACGGCACTGAGATAATGAGTATGCAGGGTGGAGAGAAAGGACATGAAAAGTACAAGGTGTCAACTACTTCATGTGTGTTTGGGTGCATCAGGTCTAACCACACTGAGCTGGCTCCAGGAGGTACGGAGGGGTCTGTACTGCACCACGATGCCTCTATCAGGTTTGGGTTGTCTGGAATCGGCGTCCTCATCTGAGTCGTTATGTAGGGCCTTCTCTTGATAATTCTGATAAAGTTCTTCTTCTGGAATATGGTTTTAAGTTTAAAAAACAGACAGGAACACATGAACTCAACACAAACAGACAGTAGTTTATCTGAAATAAAAAAAAAGCTAAACAAACACAAATTTCTTACCTTCACTGTCAAATGTACGCTGACTTGACAAAATKTTCCTCTTATCTAGAGTCTGAAAGAAAAGCAGTGTCATAAACACCAYAAGCCTTCTGAGAACACAGACATCTTTCAATAAAATTGACCTTTGCTACCTGTCCTTGACCTCTCTGCACTTTTTAGTGACCCTCTTCATTTACTTCAGTCCAACTAAAGATCCATTGTGTATTTCAGTAAACACGGTCTTGTTGCATCATATCTCCTCAACAAACATGTTAATTGTTTCCATGTAAGGCTTTGTCCTACTGTCTACTGCTTCTTGTTTGTTCCACATTAGTCTGCCTGTGTTGCTGGTTTATAATGTGGACTTTGCTCTTCTCAAATCGAAAGTCTGCGTCGAAGCAAACTTTGTGCCAAACAGTATTTAAACTATTAGAGGGGCTGTGATTAACAGAGTCAAGAACAGTTTTAATCTGCTACAGCTAAAAAAGGTTATTTAAGCGAAATGTCAATGCTAACAAGGGTTGTTGAATAAAGTAAAGCCATGTTTTTAACTAATACATTTACCTACCTTGGTTTTTTTGTTGTTTTTGCGTTTTTCCRTTTGAGGGCTAGAAGACCTTAAAATCCTGGGGCTGGGGAGTTTTAGTGTTACGGGGCTCGTAGGGCTCAATGTGTCGGGGCTCGATGGGCTCGCAGCTGAATCTGGACTATCCAAATCAAGCCCTCTTATCAAAGGTTGGGACAACGAATGGTCCTTTAGATCCATCGAAGGAGTCTCCGTGTCAACCCCACTCACCACTGCCCTCCTGTAAGACGTACTCCTCAAGCCTCTCCTTAGTGTCCCAGGGCTATCAGGGCCCCCATCTGTCTCGTCGTTGTGGCCCCCTCCAGTAGAAAAGTAGCCTCCAGTTTCCACCATGGCGAGAGTTTTAAGTCCTCGTTTGGAATGCTCCAACCCCGGCCTGGCCAAGTGTCCCTTGTTCTGTCGTGTTTCAGATGCCAAGCCTTTGGGAATGAGCTGCTGGGTGCCCATCTTTAGGGCGGCGGGGCTGTTGGTGCTYAGGACGATGGCGGGCAAAGGTGAGRCAGTTGGGGAAAGTGATGGCGAGGGTGAGGTAGAGGAGACGGAAGGAGAGGACGACGAGGCAAGCAGGGTGTCCTGTGAGCATGTCCGAGACTGTCTGAGGAGTGAATGCCCTCTGTCTGCTGGTGATGGGGAGCGGGGGGTAGGAGGGTCAGAGGAGGTTAAAGACATGAGTGAGGAGATGCTGGATGTGGAGCTGTCAGAGGGGGTAAGGGTACCCCGCGATGGAGGTGAGGAGTTGGACGAGGACGGACGTGAAGATAGTTCATAGTGGTTGTTGAGAGGAACTTCTTCGGGTGAAGGATTTGTCTCAAGCTTGGTCTGGTCTTTCTGTAAGCTGAGACTGAGAGGACTGGAGGTGCGTCTTCGGTTGTCCAAAAGATGCTTGTTAGAGCATACAGCTTGTCCATTACTGGTGTCACCACTGTTACGGCCTCCATTGCACACTCTATTGTCCAGTGAAGCAGTTTTGTTCTGCTCAGGCCTAAATTTGGACAGTGAGAAACGCCCACTCGTGAAGTGTCCAATGCTTATACTCCGAACCACTCGGGTTTTCTTTGAGGGTTTATGTAAAACATGCTTTATCGTTGTAGTGCTTTTGCCAAAGGGCTGGGGTTGGACCGTAAGTTTCTCAGCAGGCTGGCTTAAAGTGAAGGAACTTCTGTGGTCCTCTACAAGGAAATCTGGATCTGTGACCCCATTTGTGTGACAGCTGAGGGGCCGTGTCTTATATCTGTTCAAGTCTCGGGGACTTTTAGCAAAGTCWGTCCGTGGCTTCCATAAAGGCATGATGTTGTTATTGGACAGATCTACATCATTACCAAGATCCATGGTRGTGATTTGCTTTTGTCACTATCTGTAGCTGAACTTGCAGGTCACAGAGAAAACAACTGAGCCCTACAGAGGGCAGATCCTTTGCCTTTAGACAGATAAAAGAGAAAAATAAGTAACCAAGAGCACATTTTAAATGTCCAAACTCCAATAGTTTACTCATTAACAGGAGTTCAGAGCACAAACAAGTGGCAAATAACAGTCAAGACATCCCCTAGTCGGGAAATTGTGCTGAAAACAGCAGAGAAAACAAAGTCTTTTTGTATTTGCTCACTGTGCTGAAATGCCCTAATTACAAACTGGAAGCAGGGTCCGTTWCTGTAATACCACAAAAGTGAAACAATGGGACAGAAACGTTTAAATCCTCAGATAATATTGCTTCTAATTGTGTTAATCCGCACAAAATAAACAAACCCACACACAGGCAAGATTGAGTTTCTACTTGGGGAAACGAAATAGTTCTGTAGCATTAAAGTCCAGCTTACCTGTAGTCTGTCCGTCTGAATAATGCACTCATTGTACCTGCGCTGCTGGAAAACTCTTTTTTGTCTTCCTCCACTTTTGGTAGAAGAAAATGAACGGACTCCAAGGACTTCTAAAAGAGTTTGTCAAAACAGAGTTGGAACAAAAGTTTTCAAAGTGACTAACCGCGCTGRGATTCGCGTGCGGCGTTTGGAACGCGTCTGTGTGTGCGCGCCTCAGAGCGCGCGGAGGAGTTTCTATGACCAGGAGGAGGGAGGGAGGAGAGAGAAGGAAGGAAGGCAGCAGCACTGAAGCTCAGAAGTGAACTCAGGTTATTTTCTGCTTCTGACTGYGCATCAGGAAGGATTTCTGATAAGACAGTGACGTATTTTGTAGTAGAGACATACCTAASAAAACAGTTACACAAAAACAGCTGTTGTACACAACTGTAGCCTACAGTGTTTAAATGGACCATTAAAATATTACGTAAACTTTTTRGCACTGTTTTGAAAACACATCTAAGGGAAAAACAGTATTATCAATTGAAATGTTATTTTAAAGCCAAATTTATTGCAGTTTGGTGCCACCTTGTG